ATTATAATGTAGAAGAAGATCCAATGAATCTTCAAGAAGCCTTGTAATCTCTGGATGTTTAGTTATGGCAAGAAGCTATCAATGATGAGATAGAATCTCTAGAATCTAACAAGACCTAACACTTAGTAGACTTGCCTCCTGGTTGCAAACCAATCGGTTGTAAATAGATCTTGAAAAGGAAACTAAAACCTGATGGAACTATTGATAAATACAAGGTTCTCCTTGTTGCCAAGGGTTTTAGACAAAGAGAAAATATAGATTTCTTCGACACCTTTTCTCCTGTCACTAGAATTACATCCATTAGGGTACTTATTTCAATAACTGCTATTTATAACTTAATAGTACACCAAATGGATGTTAAAACAACTTTTTTAAACGGTGACTTAGAAGAAGAAATCTATATGAAACAACCGGAAGGGTTTGTGATCTATGGATAAGAAAACAAGGTCTGTAAGTTAGATAAGTCTCTGTGTGGGCTAAAACAAGCTCCAAAGCAATGACATGTAAAGTTTGATAACTTAATGATATCGAATGTGTACAAAGTGAATGAAAGTGACAAATACGTTTATTATAAATTTGAGAATTGTATTTGCACTATCATATGTCTATATGTAGACGATCTACTCATATTTGGATCAAACATTCAGGCCATTAATGATATGACATCGTTGTTGTGCAACAACTTTGATATGAAAGACCTCGGAGAAGTGAGTGTGATTCTTGGTATCAAGATCACAAAATCCGAGCAAGGAATTTCTTTGGATCAATCACAATATGTGAAAAAGATCTTAAAGAAATATAATTACTTTGACAGTAAACTTGTGAGCACACTAAATGATCCAATCGTGAAGCTGTTTAAAAACACTTGTGAAAGTGTTAGACAAACAGAATATGCGAGCATCATTGGAAGTCTTAGGTATTCCATTGATTGTACTAAACCTGACATTGCATTTGTCGTGGGATTGTTGTGCGAGTTTACTAGTAGACCGAGTAATGAACATTGAGAAGATATTGAGCGAGTCATACGGTACCTTAAAAGGACCATGAATCTCGGTTTACATTATCATAGATTTCCTATTGTACATGAAGGATACAATGATGCATATTGGAATACCTTATCAGATGATTCCAAAGAAACTAATGGCTATGTATTCAACATAGCTAGATGAGTTGTATCTTGGAAATCAAAGAAACATACTATCCTGAGAATATAGCATTAGCGACTGCTAGTGAAGAAGCAAGTTGGTTAAGATGCTCGCTAACTGAGATTCCCTTATGGGAAAAACATATGTCAGTTGTGTTGATCCACTGCGATAGTACCGCGGCTATTGCAAAAATTGAGAACTGTTATTATAATGGTAAAAGACGTCAAATAAGAAGAAAGCACAACATTGTTAGAGATTGTATCTCTAAAGGAGCTGTAAGAGTGGATCATGTACGCACTGATGAAAATTTAGCAGATCCTTTAACGAAAGGATTAGCTAGAAAGAAAGTCTATAATACATCACATAAGATGGGACTAATGCCTATAGGAAAATGAGTTGCTCATGATGGTAACCCGACCTAAATGACTGGAGATCTCAAGAAATAGGTTCAATGGGTAATAACAAGTTATGAGTAATATGAGATGATCATGCAAGTAAAGCATGAATCCTGAAGTAATAAGAGGATGAGATAATAGAAACTCTTAATGAGATCTATAATCTGTATGAGGGAGTACCTAGGCTACAAGAGTACTCTTGATAGACTCACCTATGTGATTGTGGAACTTAGGCCGGTTCCTATGGAATTTCGAGGCAGAATTCCTAGAGCCTTCATTAAACTGGGATACACGTGCAGGGCCATTAAAGCACGGGCTATTAGAATACACCTTAAGAAAAGGTTGTGTGCGGGTTTGATGTCTGAGATAGAGTTCAAGACATTTGTGTCACTCTTGTTAAATTAGAATCTTACTTGCTATGCAAAGGTTCAAGTCGTAGACACCTTTGTTTATGCATAATCTTAGAAACGTTTGACGTTACTTCTAAAATCAATTTTTTAAATTCAAGTGGAGGATTGTTGGATCATGTCCATGTTTCAATATGTTGAATTTACAAATTTCTCAAGTCCCACATTGTTAGAATTTTTTTTTGGTTGAAAAAACTATTTAGTCCCACATTGCTCATGTGAGAAATATTAACTATCTTACTTCACTATATAAGAAGTGCACATGTTTCATTTCAAATTACACCAAAAACTACTCTATTAGTTTTTCCTTCCTCACTATCATAACTCTGCGTCTCTCGAATTGTCGAAGCGCCATCTTCTTCCCCTTTCTTCATACTCGTTGAATTTTCCGAGTATTTTCTTGAATTCTCTTTAGAGAATTATGTTAATTTCTCCTCATTTGAGTTGAGAAATTTTCAAGTTTAATCTTTTGAATTCTCTTTGGAGAATTATTTGAATTTCTCTTTGTTAGAGAAATTATTATGAGTGGTCAAATGACCATTATTATATTCTCTTTGGAGAATTATTTGAGTTTCTTTTTTTGTTTGAGAAATTATTATGACTGGTCTTTTGTACCAGATACTACGAGTGATGTTGATACCATATTTGAATGGTCTTATACCATCAGAGGGTGTATTTCTAGACCGATTATCTATCATGCAAGTAGTAATCGTACAATATAGAACTGGACTATTTTATCCTGGAGGCGGCGCAGTAGTTTGACTGTTTTGCATAATTTTGAGCTGTGTCGCGAAACGTCTTAAAGAGAGCGACCTAGTCCGCGACTCAACCTGATAATTTCTTCGGTGTCAAATGTTTTAAAATCCAAAAACCAACAATTATAACAATAAGTCTCCATTATAACAATCATTCCTATTCCTATGCCTTCTGTTATGCTTTGACAGTAGGTACCATATGTATTTCTTTTATATAGTCTTGTACTAGTTCATGTTAAGGCATGAATAAAATTAAAATCTTAAAGTTCATTTCCTTTCTTATACAATTCAGCAGGAGGTTGCATCGGTCTTCAAAACTGAGAGTTATCATTTGTATTTTGTTTATCGATTTCGATGTAACTCTTGATATTTTTTGTAGTATTTGTTAATTGTGTAATTCCCTGTGTTGAAGCACGATGTTGTTCGGTACAAGGTGTGTCGAAACGCCCAGTATGTATGTGTGTCGAATTAGTCTATATAGTGTGTCGAAATATTTGTTTCACATAGATTTGATTTAGTTCTAAAATAGGTATTTTAGACTTTTATAGTTATAGGTTTTTTAGCTTAAAGAGCAAGCTAACCTAAAGCTATAAATAGAGGGAGTAACCCTTATTCTTGTATTCATTCATTCACAGTATTTGCAGTTGTAACTGAATAAAAGTTTTTCCACCGTTTGTGGGGAGAAAGTTACTTTGCAGAAATCGTAATCCTTTTCTTCTTTAAATTTCTTTTTCTTTTCATTGTCATTGTGTGGTGATAACAATCTTGTTCATCAAGATTGATAGAAATTCATCATAGGTTTTGGTGGATTTCCAACAATATATATATATATATATATATATATATATATATATATATATATATATATATATATATATATATATATATATATATATATATATATATATATATATATATATATATATATATATATATATATATATATATATATATATATATATATATATATATATATATATATCGTTGTATTCATATCTTTATTATAGTCGAATCTTAGAAAATATTCCAACGTTTTATATTTTATAGTCTTGATATGAAGATCATTGAAAAATAAATTGTAATATTTTCTGCATAAGTTTTAGAAATGCATCTCCGATATATCTACGTGTATGTATCTCCGAAATAAATTAACGTTCACAAAAAAAAAATTAAAAAAAGAGTGTGTCCGACAATATATTTTCGAAAACTAAAAGAGTTTTTGAAAATTATATAAAATGTTTTTTTTAAGTATATAGAGTGTTTTAAAAAATCCTTAATATAAAATTTGTTGCGCCAAATTTATTTAGTTGAACCTTTATTTTATATTAAAAGTGATTAAAATTTGCTTTAAAATTTACTCCCCCAGCGCTGCCCCGTTGAATTTTAAAATATAAAATTTATATTCATACATCACGATGATTAATAATGTATTTGATGTTGTATAAAGAGAGTTCTCTACTCAAATGCTTTTGTCACGCGCAAACAAACGTGAAATCACCTAATCCAAACAATATATGATGGTTGCTTCTTTTATGATCATGACACTCACCTATTGATTCATAAATTAAAAACACAAATGTTTCATCATGGTTGTTTGGTTGCAAATTGCAATGAAGTGTAGTAACCGCACACATCCTAACATCCTTTCTTTCCTTCCAAGTCTCACTACCTAGTACTTAAGAAATTCAATACTCCAAATTCTAAGGAAACGAGGAATAATATCTAACCACTTATACTTAAATTTAAATTTTGTCATATTTCCGCATTTCAATTTTTTAGATAAATAAATAAAATGTCACGGATTGAAACTCACGTCTCTGCATCTGATGTCTTTTTACAATTATCAATCGAACTGATTTAACGGAATCAAACTTGAAATTTTAAAATAAATTAAAAACTATTTCAAAACTCGACCGTCTAAATACATAAATGCGACAAAATTTTAACCATCTAATATTGATACAACGACCGCAAATATACCGAATATGGAAATGCGACAAAACCTTTAGAGCAAAGAGTCTGATTTCTAAATAAAGTCATAATTAACCAAAATTAGGACTAAGGGTCCACATATGTCTTTTTGTATTAAAAGTATGTTTTCACTTTATATATATACAATTAATTAATAAAGGGACCAACTAATTTATTTCTCAATTCTTAAGGTCCCATTCTACAACTCCCATAACAAAACAGTACTACTCAACAAGGATATATAAATATCAGAGTAAAGAGAAGAGTCTCATTAGCAAGCAAACACTTCAGGAAAAAATTGTAATTACTTTGCAGAGATAGAAAACCATGGAATTGGTAGAGAGATCTATAGTTTTCTTGATGATGACAATGGTGGCTGTTCAGGTTTCAAATGCAGTTGTGCACAAGGTTGGAGACTCTTCTGGTTGGACAATCATTGGTAACATAGATTACAAGAAATGGTCTGCTACTAAAAACTTCCAAATTGGTGACACTATCGGTAAGTCCCCTAACTCCAAATATTTGTTTTAAATTGATGGCGTAGTTGCGATTACGGTAAAGCTGCAAAGAAATGATATTGTTGGTAATTTTGTGGCAGTTTTTGAATACAATGCTCAGTTCCACAATGTGATGCGTGTGACACACGCCATGTACAAATCGTGCAATGGATCACTACCTTTGACAACCTTCACCACTGGCAAAGACTCTATAAAGATAACAAACTATGGTCATCACTTTTTCTTGTGTGGTGTTCCTGGCCACTGCCAAGCAGGACAGAAGGTTGATATCAATGTGCTCAATGTTTCGGCAGCAGCAACACCGACCAAATCTCCATCAGCATTGGCCTCTCCAGTACCAGTTGCAACTACGCCTGCACTTTCTCCTAACAATGCTTCACCTTTGACTACTGCAAAGGGAGCTTTTGGTTTTGTTGGTTTGGCCATGACAGTTTTTAGCAGTTTCTATTTCTAACTATGCATAATAAGGGATTATCCTTATTTTGTTGTAAGAGTTTGGTTTATGTTTTAAGGACTTGTCAAGAACATTTTTCTAAAGGTTCATTATCATGATACTTCATGTAGACTGAAGGCATGTTTGTATGATCCTTCATTATGTTGTTATTGTAGATTAAAGAGAAGATTAATAAAGTAAATTTTATGATTGTAAATAAGTATGATTAATTTTTATTTTACATAAAAATCTCTACAAGTAATGTTTTTTATTACAAAAAGGGCTTAAAGCCCGGAAAAGAGGAAGGCTAAACGGAAATTAAATGAGAGACTGAAACTCCCAAAACATCAGCAGAAATCAGCAGATAAGCAAGTCTGCACATTGGCTATCAGCTTCAAGATAGGAATGCTTAACAACAACCTCCCACTCCAACTCTAGCAACCGCCGAATCCTTAAGATCAAGGACCTCCCGCTGCAACTTCCTCCTCTCTTATTGCAAGTCATTTGAATAAAAATCACCTCTAACATTCATATTCACTAATTTGAGCCAAAGCGGCTTAACAAGCGGACAATCCAGCATAACATGCAAAGTGGTCTCAATGGTACTGCCAAGTACAGGCACATAGCGCTGCCCAACCCCATACAATTTCTCATAAAATTTGTTAAAATTCTGTCAGGCTGCATCAGCCATATAAAACATCTCACTGATTGCGGCACGTATAACCTCATCATCTGCTTCCAATCCGAAGCAGCAGTATCCATCTGAAAGTTGCACAGATTATATGGTACATAACAGCTGCAGAAAATCAATCATCATATCCGGCTGTCATCATTGGATAAAGAGGAACTGCTTCCAAAACACTTTTTGCTAAAGTCAGCATCCCCGCAAAAGATAAATGCTTCACTTCCCAAGCTGATAGCTTAACTTAATTAGATGTTGACAGTCTACTCTCTTAGGTGCTCTACCAGTTAAAGGCACACCGAAGTATCTTCCAATGCTCCGCGTCTCTCTGAACCCCACACTCATGTACAAAACTATCAAGCACCCCACGCCCAACATTCTTAGTGAAGAAACTATCAGCTTTCTCCTGGCTAACTTGTTGTCTGGGCATATTGCAAAAGCAATCAAATTTTTTTACATTTTTTTTACACTAACAAACAGATCTTAACTGATGATAAAAGAATAGGTAAAAATCATGTTTTCAGTATGATGGTCCATCATAAGCTTGAGATATTATTTAGTTCATTCCAGTGAATGTGGTAATTCTTGAGATCTGCAACATGTATGAAAAATCAAATAAAATTAACTCAACTGATTTCAACCAGTTTAAATATACGCTACTACGAAGTCGAACTAACTGATAAACACTATGACCGCCTATATTTTATTCATCCCTAAAGTACTCAATTTTCACTCACCTAACTTTTGTTTGATTTACAGAATTGGGTGGACTAGTCTTTATTTTGGTTCTTGTTCCATAACCTTGAAATTCTACTGATTTCAGCGCAGCTTGTTGCCCGCTTGCCTTCAATTTCTGTATTGACCTAATTTTTCATATATATAATGTTGTTATATGCAGCTGACTGGGATCAGTGTGCGATGAAACTCTCTCTGAACACTGTAATATTATAAATCTAAGCATGTCAATATTTTTATTACCAGTGAAACTTATGGATGCATTTTGTCTTACATGTGTATATACCATTATTATATCTTGAAGACTAAAAATTGCAGCATGCTATAAGTTGCCAATGTTATATCTGATGAAATTTTGATACCCTCCAGTGCAGAATTAACGAAAAACTAAACCAAACTCTTAACTGTCCCATGAGTAAAGAAAGTAACATTTTATTGTATTGAATTAATCACAGTGCCTTCTAGAATTAAGGTTGATATCAAAATCTAGAGCGATGCATATGTATTAAGATAGAAACTAGATCAAAATATATTAAGAAAATTGTGTTTATTTATAGAAAACTCTATTACAGAAGAAATGTCATGTGTATAGAAACACAAAATTGATGCCTAAGAGACAGAATTTCTAAATTAAAGAACATAATTGTAAAGCTGAAACACCATTTATGTTAGGTCACTTAGCAATGGAGAACCTTTCGAATGCCCATCGAACAACAACTTGATCGGGTAAAATATGTTGCAAATGATTTGGCTTCAGCCCCTGGAAACAGCTTGAATTTGGACAAGTAAAATCCATTATATTCTGGCTTAGTTGTGCAGCCACATGATTTGATATACAATTAACACAAAAAGGGTGATTGCAAGTGGCACTTCCTCTAACAATATCAGACTCTGGAATGAAATCATAACATATACCACAAAAGGATTTTGGTAACTGTGGAGAACTCTCATTACTGGTCTCAAACTCGATGGCAGCTGTTTTCCCCTTCTCCTTCTTCTCCTGATTGAAATTTTGAATATTTTGTTGGTGCTGGAATTGGTGACAGTTGATTCCTCCATGGCAAGGAACCTTGCATTGGGCACAAAATACCGTATGACATGAGGGGCACTGTGCAATAGTAACAAGTTCATTCCCATCAGTCACCATCAAAGCCGAGCAATCCTTGAATGGACAAGAATACTTTTGCCGACCTACAATAGAAGAATGCATCAAGTTTTCTTCCAGCTTCAATTCTAAACAGCATTGTTGATTCGGGCAATCCATCAAACAGGTTGTGGCTTTATGCTTCCTCATACCGCGATCACGTTCTTCAAATGGATACTTTCTCTTCACTGAAATGCCGCATCGCGAATTCAGCTGTGTTTGCTGGAATTGTTGACAGTTGTGTTCTGAATGCCATGGAACCTTACATTGTGCACAGAATAGTCGGTGACAATTAGAACACTCTGCATGTGTGACAATTTCAAAGCCATTATAGAGCAATGGAACAGAGCAATCGTTGAAGGGACAATTCACACGTTGCTGCTGCTTTAACGGAAATGGAATGGGAAAGAGGTTTTGAGTTAGCGGCATTAACGGTTGTTGAAACGGGAATGGAAAGTGGTGTATCATGGTGTTTACAAATTTGTAACCCTAGATACATAAGAAAAAAAAGACGGTAACTGACATATAGAGCGAGCTAGGGTTTGTTTTATTTATAGCGTGAACTACAAGTATTCGCTAAACAGATCAAATCAATTGTTCCGCAATCTATTCACTATTATATATATTAAAGATTTAAAGTACACTTCAAAAATATTTGACATTTAATATTTTATTTGCTAAATAATTCAATTTGTTTCACCCCATACACAAATCCTATGTGTCATTACTTAGAAAATTCATCTTCCTTTTATTTCCCTATGTGTCATTACTTAGAAATCCTATGTGTCATTACTTAGAAAATTCATCTTCCTTTTATTTCCATGTGTGTCATTACTTAGAAAATTCATCTTCCTACGTGTTCAATGAAATTCCTAGTCTAAGTATAGTTTATTGGAATGTGTTAATGTCTGGATATGATAAAATATGTGAGGTGAAAATAGTTATTGTAAAAGTTTTTGAAGAAACTAATATATTTATTCTGGATATCTACATACTCTTATTCTGGATGCATAAATATTGCAGTTTCCCTATATTTTGTTGTTGCATATTTTAATATACTGACATTGTTATTCTTCATTTCCTTTTAGAACTTTGGGTTGAATTCTTGAACGTATCTAGTTGATGTGATTAAATAAAATTAATTACATAAATTTTGGTAATTATAATTCTTAGTAATTATCTAATTTAATTCAATTTAAATAGTTTTAATTTTTATTAATGCCATAATTATTTTAATTTACGGTAATTTTAATTTTTAGTAATTTAATTCATGATAATTCAAAATTAATTTTATTTATTTTATTAAAACTATTCATTATAATGTAATTTAATTTAGTTTAAGTAATTTTAAAAAAATTTAAATAATAAAATTATTATTAAAATAATAAATTGTTATACATGATGTGGCATAATTATTTTTAATGAAAAATATATGGCATTTACACGTTAACAAATTGAGTACTACATCATTAAAAATAAATTTTAAATTAGAGAGGAGATTAAAATTCAACACAAAACATAAAACATGTATCAAAATCGTGATTTTAAAAATAGGGAGATCAAAATAAAAAAATCAAAATAAAGGAACTAAAGTTGCAATTAAACTTTATATATATTTTTAAAACTAACAAATTTATATTTCTACCGTTTTTACTTGCATCCATTCACATTAACCTTTACATCATAGGCAGAGTCAGCTCTCGACGAAGTTGGGCAGCTGTCTAGACTCTTCAGTTACGAGTTGTGTTACCGATTTCGAAACTGTCTTCACTCTCCACAATTCCCTCACTTTTCTCTTTCTCTTCCGCCTCCCAATTCCACACTTCTTCATCCGCAAAACCCTTGTTTTTCAGCTTTGTATAGTACTGGGAGTAGTGTTGAAGGTGGAGGGGAAAGGGAAATATTTATTTAGCATTTGTTGGTGAAAGAAGATGATCAGAAATTATTGTTAGATCTTCAACAGAGAGTTGCTAGAGATTAAAAAAATCTTGGATTGTGTAATTCAAAAATGATTTGGTTTGGTAAATTGGTTATATCATTGTTTGAATTGAGTTGTTTGAATACTATCAATGTGAAAGACTAACATAAAACCTTTAAAGTTGCGATTCTTAATTGATTTCTCTATGTGTATGTTTGTTGTGAATCCATGTGAAAATTTGAGTGATATTGTCATGGAGTGTGGACCATTCAATTTAAACTTCTAAAAATGAAAGAGGATGGGTTAGAAAGGGACAAATGGTATATGATGTTTAGGTTTACAAAGGGACAAATGCTAGAGACATGTAAGAATTTGGTTGATGATTATTATTGTTGTAGGTTGTGGTTTATGAATCAGTATTGAATTATTGTTGTTACCACCATTTTGCAACTTGCACACTAAGTGTTTGGTAAATTGCCTCAACTAAGTTTCTTTTCCTTTTTTGCTTCTGTTTCTTAGGAATTATGGTGCTGAATTATTGTTATTGATTGATTCACTTGTTGGACTTGTGAAGGAAGAAAGGAAGTATTGAAGCAAGCTTTTTTATTCTGGATTCAGATCTGTCATGTGATAGTGTCAAGATTCTGAAGCAAGCTCTTTTAAACAACAAAGTGAGTTACAACTTACAAACTCTACCTTGCTCAGCTTGCTGTTTAGTTGAATTTAGTAAATATGTGTGATATGTTATGGTTTATTACGAACTTGTGATGTGTTTTGTTGTAATGATTTACCAGGATGCTGCGTATTATTACCACGGTTTGATTCTTGACGAGGGAAATACAGAGAAATCACACAGGATGGTTGTGGCCGCATTGAAAGCAACAAGTGAATACTTCAAAGAAAGCAATAAGTTATATGAGACATTCAACGTGGCTCCTCCATTGTCAAGGTTGAAACAACTAGCCGAAATCATTGGAAATCAATGAAGTCATCGTCGAATGTTTTTTATCCTGCGGAGGGGAAAGGTGAACATCGAGTAAACCTGAAGGGTGAAATCATGATCAAACAACCGAGAGATAAAATGTCTTTTGCGGGATATGGTGAAATGATCCCTTTCCCCCGTTTAGTCTGCACTTCCCCACTGTGGTCCACATTCTCCCTGTGAAGTTGTTTCCTCCTATGAAGACTAACTTCTCTAGTGCAGTACATAATTTCCCTGGTGTGGTCTATATTTTCTTTGTGAAATTTGTTTCTCCTTGGTATGATCTATATTTCACCGGTGAAGCTTATATTTCCTCAGCGAAGTCAGTATCTCCTTAGAAAATTTTGTACCCCCTCCAGTGTAGTTTATATCACCCCGTGAGGTTTGCATCTCCTCAGTGTGGGTTACATATTTTTAAAGTTTTTGGTAAGAATGATTTCCCTCGATCGACGAGGAACTTTTGAGATACCCTTGTGAAGTTGCTTGCTTTCCCAGTGGATGATACACGAGCATGTTTCTCCCCATTGAAGTTTACATGCGGTTAATCTTCGGGAAGTTCTTCTCCCTAGTGGAGTTGGTGTTAGTGAATACCTTGCATAGTTCGTTGCTCCAGTGCAGTCTGCACCGGCGAGAGTGTTTCTAATAATTCTCTTATTCCCTAATGATATGAGATATAATATCAGTTCCCCAATAGAAGTTGAATGTCGAGGGTCTTCCATGTCCAAGAAGTCTGTCCTCCCCAAGTAAGATGTTTTCCCCAGGAAGTTTGAAGTTTTCTTCTCCATAGTGGATTACCCTACAGAGAATCCTCAACCGACAGGATCTAATTGGTAAAGAGTTTTTGACAGAGTATTGTGATTCCCCAATGCGGTCTGTACCGACAAGATTTCTTATGAGAATTCTCTCGCTCCACGGTGGATCTCTCGATGGATGTTCTCAGATTCGGGTTTGTTGATGGATGGTTATTAGTAAAATAGGGACATTCACCAATTGAGGAATCTCCCTCATTCCCCAGTAAGTCATGATTAAGAAGTTCTTTGCTCCCCAGCCGAGTCGTCACTCACAAACCAGCAAAATTTGATTTTATTCGTCAGAATCTTTCATATTTCTCTAGTTGAAACGTGTGGATGTACTGTGTTTCAGAAATTCATTCCTCCAATAAAAGTGAAAAGTTGTTCCTTGCAGGCCATTGGTTATGGGTATCCCTCAGTAGCATCCAATCTTCACTGATGTCTTTGCTTAGAATGCGCGTCGTGCTTCTCTCCAGTGAAGTTTGCAATTTATCTTTGCAATCCTTAGAGAATCTGGCCTATGGTTCCTTACCATTCAGTGTGTTGTTCCATAGAGAGACATCTAATCATGCATCATTACATTGCATCTACTCAAATGTGTAGTGTTTTTATTTGTGTCAGAACACTACTCCATAAATCTTTCAAACATGCATTGAATTATAAGCCAATGGTTATTACCTTTATCCCCCGTCATTCGCCAATTACCGCGAGATTATCCATATGTTTACCCTCAACCGGTTTCCTTAAACTTCTGTCCTTGCTCTTAGCAAGTGTTGGCAGTTACCTTACCATGTTATTTACTCTTTGCAATTAAAGTGCGAGTTAGAGTTGGTGTTAAGCCTTTCTTTCTTCACAATTGTTTGAACCTCCTAAATTCGTGTGTGGCAGGACATATGATTTCCACTTTTGAGGAATTATACCCTGCTCCGGCCTAAGGGATTATGTAATTCTTTTGCTTATTGCAAATACCCAATAACCTTTCTCGGAAAGTCAAATACAATGTCGTCCTGGTAATTCTTTCTTTAGGTCGAGTCTGTTACTCGCTACCTGGTCATCATAATTTCACATCTGATACTCTTTCTTAGAGTCTAGTGGTCACTAGTCTCCTTTTTCACCGAGTGGTCACTCATTGTTTAGTTTGCGACCCAGTTTTTTCCTGGCGCATCATTCTTAGGTTTAATGGTTATCAGTTCCTCTTTAGGTTAAGTGGTTAGTTGTCACCTATCTTAGTCCCAATAATTGTTGGCACCTACAAAAAAAACCCAAACATGTATTGAAGTATAAGTCAATGTTGTTTCCTTCATCCCCAATGAATTAACTCATGTTTACTGATATCCTTGGAGCCTAGTGGTTACTAGTCTCCTTAGATCGAGTGGTCACTCATTTGCTTGGTTACGATCCAGGTTTCCATGGCGCAACACCTCTTAAGCCTAATGGTTACTAGTTTTCTCGGGTCTAGTGGTTACTAGTCCTCCCCACATCATTAGATTCTAGTGGTTACCAGTCTTCTTAGATCGAGTGGTTACTCGTTAGAACCCCTAGAATATAGTGGTTACTAGTATTCTTAGGTCTAGAGGTTACTAGTCCTACCCCAATATCTTGGAGCCTAGTGGTTACTAGTCCCCTTAGATCGAGTAGTTACTCGTTGGTTTTGTCTGTTCCAGTTTGCCTCTAGCGCGACATTCTTAACCTAGTGGTTACTAGGTCGCTCTCGAGTCAAGTGGTTACTTATCTTGTTTGTATCTTACATTCCTTGGTTAGTTTCAGTGGTTACTAG